ACAGACAAATAAAGAAAAAATTGTGCTGATCAGATTTAACAACTTGATTTTTTTTTTGTGAAAAACGGAAACTCCCTGCATATTGTGAGAAAGGAGACTGAAATGATGAAAGTATATAGGAGAGCAGCAATTTTCGAAATAAGCTCAAGAAAATTTCCCTGCCTGATTTGAAAACTTTATATTTTAGCGAGAAACAATTACATTTTTTCACCATTTTCGTATTTCCTCCCATTTTTTGCCTATTTTGTATTTCCGCCCATGCTTTTCTTTTTTTGTATTTCCTCCCATGTTTTACCTTTTTTTGTGTTTCCTACATATTTCGTATATTCTGATATTTTTTACATTTTTAGTATTTTTCGTTATCTTTTTCGATTTACCTTTACTTCATTCAGCCCATTCTGTGCAGAAAACATACACCTTGAAGCTTAACTTGAAATGTAAATGTTTACACCTTAAATTAATGTATTATACGCAATATGTATAATCCCTGCTTCATTATTTGCTTATGTTCATATGATTATGTAACTGTCTATCCATCATGACAAAAGCCCATATATGTAGCCATAATACAACCTTATGAGTTTTTTGAATTATCCAAGTTTGAGTTTTTATTATACCTTTTAATTCGATTTAATAACATATGTGTGTATTAAATATCTGTGTATTTTTTCACACATATGTTGATTTTTTTTTTTTTTTTTTTTTTTTTTTTTTTCTCCGTTAAAATTAAGTGAATTTTTCTCTACATAGTGTGTGTACACACTTTTTTTTTTTTTTTTTCTCTTTTTCCTAATTCATAAAAAGTGTTGTTTGTTTGAACAAATTTGTAAATTATACTTTGCTGCAACGTTAAACTGAATTATTCCGTCATTTCCTTCGATGCACACCTCGTTCACATTACTATATTCTAGTTTATTTTACCAACACGCACACACACACTTATAAACTTGTTTGTATAACCATGAATGCGCTTATACTAGTCGGAGGTTACGGTACTCGATTAAGACCACTAACCCTAACAACTCCAAAACCATTAATCAGCTTCTGCAATAGACCTATATTAGAGCATCAAATATTTAATTTAGCGCGATGCGGAATTAGAGAAATAATATTAGCCATAGCTTATAAACCAACACATATAACAGACTTCGTAAACGATTTAGAAAAAAAATACAACGTTAAAATTATTTACTCTATTGAAGAGGAGCCTTTAGGGACAGGTGGACCAATCAAATTGGCCGAGAAGTTTTTAAGCAAATATGAAGACTTTTTTGTGTTCAACTCGGACATTATTTGTTCGTTTCCCTTGCTGGAAATGATGAACTTTCACAAGCAAAATAATTCTCCCTTAACCATATTGGTAAGTCAGGGGAAGGTATTAATGGATAGCACTCGAGAATCGCATGTGCATTATTTGTGTATTTTTATGCATAATTTTTTTTTTTTTTTTCATTTCTGCGCATTTTCGTATGTTTTTCGCTTGTTACCTGCACATTCATGCAAAAAAGCACCTTTTTTCATTTTTTTTTTTTTTTTTTTTTTTTTTTTTTCGTGTATACAGGTAAAGGAAGTCGAAGACCCTAGAGCATTTGGAGTTGTAATAACAGAAGATAAAAGAATTACTAAATTTGAGGAAAAACCACAAGTTCCCCAATCAAGTTTAATAAACGCAGGAATTTACATACTGAACAAAGACATTTTAAACCACATTCCCGAGAGAAACACATCTCTCGAAAAAGAAATATTTCCCAAACTAGCGAAAGAAAATATGCTATATTTTTACAAATTAAAAAAATTCTGGGCCGATATAGGAAAACCGTTAGATTTTTTAAAAGGACAAGCTTTATACTTAGAAGACTTGGAAGAAAAAAAAAAAGAAAAAAGAGGAGAGAAGAAAGAGGTTAGAGAGGCCGATGTAAACGGAGCAGAAAAGAAAGGGGTTAGAGAGGCCGATTCAAACGGAGGAGAAACAAACAAAGAAGAACAAACATTAAGTGATCACTTCATAATATGCTATGGAATAAATGAAATAGAAAATGATACAAAATGTGGAAATAAGAAAAATTTATTCATTACTTTTGAAAATATGGAAGAATTAAACAAGTTTAACGAAAGAAAAAAACATATGTTTGATGAAATACTTGTGGACGCAAAACTAGAAGGAAATGTATTAATTTCTTCCAAAACTGTTATAAAAAAAAATTGTGTATTGGGTGACAATGTTGTTCTAGGAGAAAACGTAATTATTGGAGAAGGGTGCCGGATAAAAAACTCTTGTGTTATGAGTAATTCTATCATCAATTCTTATTCTTATATTGAGAATTCAATAATTGGCTCAAAGTCAAGGATAGGAAGTTGGTCTCGTATTGAGGGATTGTGTGTCCTTGGCGAAAACGTCATTTTAAAACCTGAAATTTTTGTTAATAATGCTTTTATCCTTCCCTTCAAAGAGGTCAGTAGCTCGATTTATGATAAGGGCGCGATTATTATGTGACGGTATAGCGTGGAGGGGAAAAACAGGACCATGTAAAGAGGATGATAAAGAAAAAAAAAAAAAAAAATGAAAAAATGATAAAATGATAAAATGAAAAAGTGAAAAAATGAAAAAAAAAAAAAATGAAAAAAAAAAAAATGAAAAAATCCCAATTCGAAGCTATACAGTGTTTATAATATGCCACTGTCTTCTGTGTATATATATACACATATTATGATAAATTTTTTTTAGTTTTTCCTTTTTCTTCGCTATTCATTATTTGCATATATTATCCATTGTATGCGCTCAAGTGTATGTCTTTTTTTTTTTTTTTTTTTTTTTTTTTACACCATGCCTTATGGTAGGTGTAAATTATGTACATGTCCTTGGAATGCACAAATATTTGTGAGTCTGAAGTTGTACAAATATATAACTTACACAAATGTGTATCTATCAGGAAAAAAAAAAAAAAAAAAAAAAAAAAAAAACTCGTATAACCTGCCAAAGAGCGTGTGTGTAATGTCGTAATCGGAGGAGGTCCAATTTCCGAGTTGATATATATACATTCTTATGTCCAAATTCAAACGAACTTTTTTCACACAATTGAATATTTAATGCCTTAAAACAATTCTTGCTTTTTTTTTTTTTTTTTTTTTTTTACTGTGAAAAAAAATGCAAGATTACTTATCTGAATACAACAAAGATTTGAAATATGACAACTGCATAATTGTGGAACATGAGGAAGAGAAAAATAAGAATGCAAAAGATGAAAGTTGCGTAAAAGACAAAAACATAGTACGAGTTATTCAAGAAATTCGGAAAAAATTAAGATCAAACGTGTTATACAAAAATGAGAATAAAAGTGCTCTTTTTAATGTTCCCATTTATAACCTCTTTCCATTTAAATGTGTAAAAGGAAAAAAGGAAGATCATATTTACTACGTGTGCAGAACTACAAATGAAGAGGATGTATTAATTTGTCTTAAAAAAATAAAAGAAATAATATCCAAAATATATATTAAAAATATGCTCATAGAGAAGGAATTTTTGGATGACTTGTTTTCCGTTTTTATGGAATTGTGCAGACAGGTATTTTATATATATATATATATCATTCTTTCATCCAAATTTTAAATATATTCCTTCTATTCACAAGTTGAGAATAGGGGAATTTAACCCCTATAATATATAACCTCAAAAATGTGTATATTATGAACATACGTGTGTATGTAGTGTAAAATATATATACTCCCACTCATCATATATGTGTAGGTATCGGTGAAATGCTTTCAAAGAGGAGTTCTTTTGAAACACCTGTTCAATTACAACATCATCCTTCTATTCCATTATCACAAATTAGTAAAGTAATATTTCTTTTTTCGATTTAAATTATGAGAATACTTATTTTTATATATGTCCACAAAGCTGGATGAGATGAACAGTGGAAAAAAAAAAAAAAAAAATATTACACCACTTTTGGAAGTGGATGCGAGATAATTCACAAAATGAGCCACCGTAAGTTGACTCGAACCTGCGCGAAGAAGGGGAAGTGAAGAAAATTTTTCCTACTCATCTTAGTCGTAGTCATAGTCGTAGTAATAGTCGTAGTCTTTTTTTTTTTTTTTTTTTTAATTGTCCTGTGTCATCTTTTCTCACTTTCGTAGATCATCCCTGGCATTCAACTTGAAAAAAGAAATAAAACGAAATAACACAATCAACAACCTTCAAACACAAATCGATAAAAAAAAAGAAGCCACTAAAAGTTTGAAAAATGAAATCCTCAAAACATACCAACTTATCGAAAACGAAAAAAAAAACGCACAATGGGAGATGTCAGAGGTAGAAATGTTCTTTTCCCATATATATAAAAACAGAATGAGAGAAAATGCAAATGAGAAATTTTGAAAACACAGAAGAGATAATACAGAAACTACTGAGTGTTGAACATTTAAAGTATTTGTTGCAAATGCTGAATTCTATTTCTTCTTAAAATGTCCAAATGATGGATAGAAAAATGTATGAGAACATATAGATTCTTTTTTTTTTTTTTTTTTTTTTTTTTTCAAATGGATTAACAATTTTTCCCTTTTTACTAAATTGTTAAACACAGGTAAATATAATATACCAAAACAAAATAGATAAGTTGAAGAAGAACAACCAGCGAAGACGCGATGAATTCACAAGGCTGCTAAAACTATGATGGGGTAATGAAGCACAAAAAAAAAACTAATTAGCAAGGTGATGTTTAAAATTGGAGAATTTCAATGTATGTGTATACGTTTGCAGTCCCATTTGTAAACCATATTTACATTTTTTTTTTTTTTATGCCATTATTTCGTTTTTTTTTTTTTTTTTGGTGTGGGGGGAGGGATGTTCCAAAAACTTTATCTATAATCTTACACAGTTTTAAAGTTTAGTAACTAGGAAAAAATAAATCGTCCAAAATTGACATGTGCATTTAAAAAAAAAAAAAAAAAAGTCGAAATAAGATATTTATGCAATAAATTAATTTGGAAGGTGGGGGATTCAAAAAATGTAAAAGAAGCAGGTAAAATAAGTTTTAAGAACTCTAAAATATTTACCTCAATTTAGGTCAATTTCGATCCATTCAGGTTGAAAAAAAAAAATACTATAAAAATGTTAATCACATTATATATAGTTAAAAAATTCTAAAAATGTATACTATAAAAATGTTAATCATATTATATATAGTTAAAAAATTCTAAAAATGTATACTATAAAAATGTTAATCATATTATATATAGTTAAAAAAAAAAATAAGGAAATGCGCAAATTTTACAGATAAGGCTAAAAATATACTAAAAATAAAATTATGTTTGGATTAAAAAACTGTCATTAAGCCTAAACAATCTTTTATGTGCTGTGAAGGTATAATCAAAACATAATAAGGTATCTGATAAAAAAAAAAAAAAAAAGTTAATATATACAAAAAAGAAAAAAAAAAGAAAAACATCTATTTATAAATGGATTAAATGAACGATGCGTAGTAAATTTGGATTTTCTTAAAGGAAAAATCCCACAGACAAAATTGCCACAATAGCTAGAAAGGTCTTCCTCAGATTTAATGCGAATGAACCACTATTATTATTTCCCACGTTTATAGCGTCCTGGTTCAATATTTGCCCATTTGGCTTTCCTTGATTCTCTTTTCCTTTTCCTGGTTCTTCCTGCTCTTCTTCTTGACCCAAAATTTCTTGATCCTCCTCCTCTATCTCCACAACTTCCTTATTATCTTCATTATCTACCTCAGCCACCGCTTCTTTATTAGCTGCCTTATCAGCTTCCTTATCATCAACCACTTCACCATCCTTATCATCAACCACTTCACCATCCTTATCATCTACCACTTCACCATCCTTATCAGCTTCCTTATCATCTACCACTTCACCATCCTTATCAGCTGCCTTATCATCTACCACATCATCACCCTTCTTCGCTTCCTTATCAGCTTCTTTATTAGCTTCATTATCAGCTGCCTTATCAACTTTATTATCAGCTTCCTTATCATCAACCACTTCACCAACCTTATCAGCTACCACTTCACCAACCTTATCAGCTTCCTTATCATCTACCACTTCACCAACCTTATCAGCTACCACTTCACCAACCTTATCAGCTTCTTTATCAGCTGCCTTATCTACCACTCCATCATCCTTATCAGCTTCCTTATCATCTACCACTTCACCAACCTTATCAGCTTCCTTATCAGCTGCCTTATCTACCACTCCATCATCCTTATCAGCTTCCTTATCATCTACCACTTCACCAACCTTATCAGCTTCCTTATCATCAACCACTTCACCAACCTTATCAGCTACCACTTCACCAACCTTATCAGCTTCCTTATCATCAACCACTTCACCAACCTTATCAGCTACCACTTCACCAACCTTATCAGCTTCCTTATCATCTACCACTTCACCAACCTTATCAGCTTCTTTATCATCAACCACTTCACCATCCTTATCATCTACCACTTCACCAACCTTATCAGCTTCTTTATCATCTACCACTTCACCAACCTTATCAGCTTCCTTATCATCTACCACTTCACCAACCTTATCAGCTTCTTTATCATCAACTACTTCACCATCCTTATCATCTACCACCTCGTCATCTTTATCAGCTGCCTTATCTTGCTCTTCCACGTGTTTATTATCATCTGCCATCATATTTTCCATCTCATCACCCAATATGCCCTCCTTGTTATTTTCCATATGTGCAGCGTCTGTGTCTTCAACCGATATTGAATCAACCTCATTTCCATCATCATGGGCCTCATTCTCATTATCTTCCTCTGCACTTCCATATCCTTCATCGATGTTGTTCATATCTTTTTCCTTGCCCATGTGATCATCATCAACGCCATTAAAATCACCATCAAAATCATAATCAAAATCATAATCATCATCATCGTCATCATCATCTAAGGGATCATCTTTTGACATCATTTCTTTTTTCACTTTTTTCGATTTGCTATCTTGAGTCTGACTATGGGCGATTCCTTTTTTATGATTATCGAACTGTGCAGCATTTATGTCTCCAAATTTTTCTGCATTGGACATTTTGTCTGATTTATCTCCACCATCTTCTCCACTGTTTTCATTTCCAGACGTATCTTCTTCTCTCTTGTATACATCAAAAAAAGATGCTTGGTTTCCAAAGACCTCATCAGCACTTTCGTTATAATGAGATGTAATAAATACCTTTTTCAAAAATTCATCGCTTTCATTGAAGAGTCGATGAAGATTATATTCTTTTGCTTTATCATTGAGAGCCATGTATTTTTCTATTTTTTCTTTTATTTCAATATCTTTATCATATACTTGTTGATATCCAATATACAGAAGCGTCTTAAGTTTTTGTAGAATGCGTTTGTTCTTTTCCCAAGGGAGGAAATGCATATGCTTGTCATCATCAATTTCGCTTGTAGCTCTTAGTTCATCATGATTGTCTACCTTTTCAAGATAACTAATGATCAGCATCATAGGATCTTTTGTTTTATTTTCTTTCAAGTTTTCGTAATTTCGTTTTAGTACGTTACTTAAATTATGAACATTCAGGGGTTTTTTGTAGCAATAGGATTTAATGCAGCTAGCTATTTTGTTAAAAATACCATTTTTATCATAATACAAATTTTTCAATTTTTCAACGAGAATATTTCTCATGTCCATGATTCTTTTTTTTCTGTTATATTCATCAAGTCTGTCTATTTCTATCAAATCGCTATAATTTTTTTTGTTCGCCTTTCCTTTTTTATCTTTCAAATGAAACTTGTTAAAATTTAACGCTTTCAATGTGGGCTTATATTTAAAAAAGATATCAGCTGAAATGATTCCATTCCCATGAGCAAAATCATCATAGGTCAAAATGGGATCATCATTTTCATCAAAAAGTTCTTTCATATCTTTTTTCCTTGCTTCGTTGTAAAGGTTGAAATATCTTTTTCTCACGTGGTTAATAGCCTTTTCAACTTCATTCAATTTGTCCATTTGTTCTTTTAATATAATTTCCAGTTTTTCCTGTAAATCTGTCACAACAATACCCTCCTCCATTTGGTTATTTACTAATGTTTCTAACACATACAACGTGTACACATCTGCATCCGTGCTCTTTCTCATTTCATTATATCGATCTTCAAATAAGTCTTTCAAATCAGATGCATCATATCTTTTCTTCAACAAGTGAGACAAAATTTCTCCAATTTCTTGGAAAATTAAATTTTTCTTAACTAATTGTTCATTCAATTTGTTCAATAATAACATTTTTGCTTTCTTTATTTTAGTTGGATAGTTTCCATTGCTGTTCATTATATGATCTACTTCATCGTTCGAATTGAGATATTTTCCTCCACTATTATTTTCATCTTCATTAAGAAACCCATGATGATTATCTATCGAATAATTATTATTGTATTCTTCGTTATACTCTACAGCATCATCATCATCATATTGCTGATGTTTCTGCTTATTTTCACTCACCTCTTCTTCTTTTTCTGTAGTACAAACAACATTTAGTGAAATGTATGAGTTGTTAATGTAACACGGGTCTTTCTCATTTAATGCATTCTTTTGCAGTTCATACGGATTTATTACGCATTCTTTATTATTATCACATTTTTTTTTCAAAAATTCAGTTACATCCTTTAAATTGATTTTACAAAATGGAGAATGTAATAATGCACTATTTATATTTAATTTTCCATTTTTACACATGATTGGTTCATCATTTTTATTTTTTATAAAAAAAAAATATTGAACATAAGCTTCATCCAACAAAAAGGAATCACTTAACAAACATGTAGTTGATGTTTTTATAATATTCTTCTCCGATTCCACACATTCTCCAATTTCAATTTCGTTTTTATTTCTAAAAGATTGCTTCCTATTCTTTATTATGTAATCGAAGTAATATTTGCACTTATTATTTCCTAGACACCTCTCTTCCACCTCGTTCATACAACTTTTGTAAATCATTTTATTATTTCTGTTCATACATTTCACTTCACAGTGCAAAATGTATAGATTTCCCTGGGAACACCTGTCAAATTGGAAAAAGAAATTAACGTAAAGCCATTTATCCATTAGATATTATCTTAGTTTTAAAAAGCTCACAAAGTACTAAAATAAGCATTCATTTCTCAATATGTCATAAGCTTCTGTTTCACTTACTTTAGAGAATTTTCCTCTCCAAATTTCATGACATCATTATGCACATAGCACCTCGTTTGAGGTACAACACACAGCAGTAGTGCTGTTATTGAGAAGTAACAGAGAAAACGAATTTTCATTTTTTTTAAAAAAAAAAAAAAAAAAAAAATTAACACACAGAAAGGGTAATAAAAAGGCCTATATAAAAAATATAGACAACTATGTATAAATATTAATTTAACAGAACTTGTAATTGATAACTGCGTTTAAACATATGCTGTGAGAACTATTTTTATGTAGCACATGTGTTCTTCAAATGAACAATCAACTTGGAATATAAAAAAGGAAGAGTTTGCGACAAGACAAACTTTAGGAAAAAAAAAAAGCCAATAACATAAAATCAAAGGTTACCCAAAAATGTGTAACAGATCTGCTGAACTCATATACGTGAATTATCATAAATCAGTCATAAATATAAATTTAATTAAATCGAAAAAAAAAAGAATAATAATAATAAAAATACGTTTCAACTTGATCATTACGCTTTATATACATGTTCGTACGTACAAAAATACTTTATTCATGCACACATTATTCTCTATTTATACACGATCACATGTGGATAGAGAATGTGTAGAAAAAGGAAATTTTTTTGGGAAGAAAAAGAATATGTGCAAAAAATCCCCAAGCAAAAGGTTTGTTAAAAAAAAAAAAAAAAAAAAAAACATCACAAAGCTGAACAAAATTTCTTTTTTTTAATTATTTCCGAATATGTATTAAATGAATAGAGATACATGTTGTGCTTAACGAACGACGGGAGCGCGGTTGCTTAATTACAATCAACATAAAATAAAAAAATAAATTAATGGAATAAAAAATAAAATAATAAAATAAAATAATAAAATAAAATAATAAAATAAAATAATAAAATAAAATAAAATAATAAAATAAATTAATGGAATAAAAAAAAATAATAAAATTAAAAAATAAAAAAAAACAACAGCTACAGCTGCAGAAACAGCAGCTACTACTATACTATTTTACAACCATTTCTATAGTTCAAAAAAACTGTGATCTATATGCTGCACACTGAGATATGTTTGCAACTGTTCACTACACAAATGGATATCTTCATAAGCGTGCATTGAGAGAAACTTAAGTGGCACCCCTTATGTCTAACACACACAGATATTTGTTAACATGAGCAAGTATTTATGAGTTTGCACAGTTGTTTATTCATATTCACAATAATGTATATATATATATATATATATATATATATATATATATATATATATATATATATATATATCACATACACAAATATGGAAGGAACAGTACCACGCTCACATAACATCACGTGTAAATATCTAATACAACATATTATCCATGTTAGCAAAAAAGAAAAAAAATTGAAAAAAATAAAAAAATAAAAAAAGTATCATCACTACCCTAAGGCAGCTTCGGGTGAGATAGGTATGTAGGGTATATATATGGATGAAAAAATAAAAAAGGCAAAGAATGAAAGAGGAAAGAGGAATAAAACATGGAGTAGATAAAACGAAGAAAAGAAAAAATCAAAGAAAAAGATAAATAAAAAAACAAACAAAACGTCAAAGTTAAAAGGCAAAGATAAAAGGCAAAGAAAAAAGAAAAGAGAGAAAAACAAAGAAATAGGCAAATTAACAGTCAGAGAAAAAGGCAAAAATAAAAAAATAAGAAAAAAAAAAATCAACAAAAAAATGAAAGAAAAAAATGAAAGAAAAAAGGATGTAAAAAAAAAAAAAAAAAAAAAGAAAGAAAGAAAGAAAGAAAGAAAGAAAGAAAGAAAGAAAGAAAGAAAGAAAGAAAGAAAGAAAGAAAGAAAGAAAGAAAGAAAGAAAGAAAATGTAACATAAGCCCCTCATATATTTTTATATCTATATATATACATAAACAAACATGTATAGATATATTTACATTACAGTATATATAATATACATATATATATTATATACACTACAGGGCAAATTTTACGTATGAAGGCCAGTGCTGATGTAAACCACATAAACGGGAGTTTATGTACAGTACGAGTTTTATTAATAAAAGAAGAACAAGTAGGGGCAGTAATGTTCATAAATCATAACATAAAATTAGAAATTATCAACACGACCTGCATGCATATATATACATATACGTACAATATAGCACGTGTATGTATGTAATAATATGGAACGCAAAAATAAGACCATTTTCAGTCTCGTGCACCTCTGCCACTTTTATTTCTAAGCGCTATTTAATTAAACTATCTGAAAGGCAGTACGTGGTCCAAATTTAAGGCCACAATCTCGCACATTAAAATTAACACAGTTTTATAATAGCTACTGTAGAAAGAAAAAAAAAAAAAAAAAAAAAAAAAAGCCTAATTTCTTATTTATTATATATGATTCTTTTTTTTTTTTTTTTTCTTTCATTTCTTCATTTTTTTTTTTCTTTTTTTACCCTAGCCCTGATACGTATGTGGAAGCATCCCCCCCATAAATGCATGTACATATGTATATAAATATATGTAATTAAAAAAAAAAAAAAAAAAAAAAAAAAAAAAAAAAAAAAAAAAAAAAAAAAAAAAAAAAAAAAAAAAAAAAAAAAAAAAGTAAAAAAAAAAAAAAAAAAAAAAGAAAAAAAAAAAAAAAAAAAAAAAAGCAAAGAGGAAGCGATAAGGGAGCAACACAATTTTGTAGTGAAATTGTACGCACAACATTTTGCTGATTTCTTCATTATTCCTATCAAATTTTATGAGAAATTATTTTTTAAGTGGTTTCATGGGGTGCGTCTCAAAGGTTCGTAGAATAACGCACGTAACCTAAGGACACAGTTTGACAAGTGGCAAAAAAATAAAATGATGAAAACAGAAATAAACGCATAAGCGCATATATATATACACGCATATGTACATGTATACATATACCACATATATATACGCATGTATACATATTTGTATATACTTAAATAAATCGGTAAGGAGATAAAATAGCGTAAATGGTCGTGGAAGCCGTGAAAGCAAATACTCAAAAAAAAAAAAAAAAAAAAAAAAAAAAAAAAGAAATAGGTTCCCCTTAGAGTAACGTAATTTTACAGGATGAAATGCTGATTAGTTTGCTTTTATGAGTAGGAAAAAAAAAAAAAAAACAAAGTGAGCAAATGAGCGACATATCAATTCATCAACGTAGCAAAATTGTAGATTCCCCTTCTCCCCACTTCACCCATTTGCATGTTGCAATGAATATGTTATAAAGTGTTTACACATATTGTTGGCATTAAATGGAAGAAGAAGAAAAAAAAAAAAAAAAAGTTATACAAGTGTTCATGTAAGGAAAAGGCACTTGTTCTTAAGTGCCTTTTAATTGCAGGGAAGACCTCGTACCCTCTTGCTGCACGTCCTACATTGCACTTTGTTTTTTTTTTTTTTTTTTTCCTTTTACCTTTTCAATTTCCAACCCAAACGCACGCACATGGATGCTAAAGGAGAAACACCATACAAATATCTAATGAGCATGGTGAAAACAAGGGTCTTATATATGACCAAATTTATTTTTGTCAATTATTCGAATGCACATAACCGCATGCGTCCAACATTATTGCATGGATAAATATGCATGTACATAAGTTTATAAAATACAAGCATATCAAGTGCATAATGTGTGCATTCATGTTGAGCATCCCTTATGTATGTATCGACAAAATGAATCGTTGAATGTATATTTTGTCAAATGTGGAGGGAAAGAATTCAGCATGGGGAAGGGGGTTTAGTAGCAAACTATCCCACAAACCCATACACCGACACATATGTACGAAATAAAAACTGCAGCAGACGCAACACTACCACACAAGGAATACTTAATTGCTAACAAATTGTACACCTGAGGCAACATGGATGGTAATAAAGCTCTGCAATGATTTTGTAATTTTCCAAATTAAAAATATTTTAAGTCTGTTTAACTCGTTTAGAGGTTTGGGGAAAGGGGGAGAATATGTGTGGCTTTTTAAGATATTAGAACGCTTAGGAGAATATTCCCACGTGTGTATTTATAATAGCCCGTAAGATTTGCCCTTTTCTTTTTTTTTACGAAATTTTTTTAATCACATTACATTTTAAACCCTTTCCTGATGATGTAAATAAAAAAAAAAATTTTCTTAATTCCAATTTGTTACTTTTTTTTTTTTTTTTTTTTGGTACCTTTTATATATGTCAAGAAATGATATTGTAAAAATGAAACAAAGGTGTTTTTTTTTTTTTTTTTTTTTTTTTGCACAACGGTAAGGGGCGGATATATAATATGTTCGCTATTAAATGGTTATAATATATATATCACAATGAATATTTTCTTCAATTCATATTCACACTTTTTGCTAAATTATTCTCAAAGAAAAACCTCTCCTTTTTAAAAACTTTATACGTTCTTATTTCTCTACGTTTGGAGTATATTACATTCATAAAAATGTAATTGCGTTCCAGTTATCCCTTTTTGTGAAAACTTTTTCCATCTCAACAACATGAGGAAAAAAAAGAAAAAAAAAAAAAAATCTTTCTCGTTAGCAACATCATTAGAGGGTTATGTTGTTTAGGGTTCTTGAGCATGTTCCTCTTCCCTCAGCTTGAACACATATATGTAAATAACTCATATATAGGATGAGAAGTATATGCGTAAAATTAAATAAGCTGCAGTAAAGGCAAGAACAAAAAAAAAAAAAAAAAAAAAAAAAAAAAAAAAAAAAAAAAAAAAAAAAAAAAAAAAAAAAAAAAAAAAAAAATATAAAGGATAGAT